CTAAGACGTCTCCATGGCACCTGGCATCACTGCTTTTCAGAAGAGCCACAACCACCAGGTGCTCAGGAAAGGTGCAACCGCATCATCCAGGTTCAATTAGGGAAGCATAATCACTATTGGGCCTTAGAATAGTAATGAAACCATGCAAAACTGTGGGAGTAGCTGGGTGGAATAAAAGTAAGGAAGGCAGAATTATTGGCAAGGGAGGACAAGCTGAGAGGCCAGGAACATCCAGTTGCCAATTGGGGACTGGGAGGGGGACCTAGCTGATGGTCAGTGAGACTGGGAAGTGGACTACACAGGGGATGGAGAGGACAGTGACGGAACACTGGAATCTCCCAGCTACCTCTGCCCCTGCCCTTTCCTGTACCTACTCTCAAAAAATCTATGAGAGTACTGGTTGTAACTTCACTTGCATGTCCCAAGTCCCATATAATTTCTACTTCAGGAGAACTCTAATTTGTAAGGAAGCAAAGACAAGGATTCTTAAATATGTATTTCTCCGTATAACCAAACCAACAACAAAGCAGTGCAGCACAATGACCTAATACTTCCCTGTCACACACCATGGTTTTGTGGTGAATACCTGAGTTCACTTCCCAAACAGCACTCACCAAAGTCTACACTGATCTCTTTGTTACAAAATCCAAAAGCCAAGTCTCCATCCTTATGTGAATTGATTTCCAGTCTGGACCACTCCTGCATTGAAATACTGTGCTTTGTGTGAGCCCCTTGTTTGCCTGCTGTGCGTTTGCTTCTCTAGCGGTTCCTTCTCATTTTCCTCTTTAAATGAACGCTTCTCAATTCAGTCTTCCAATGTTGGTAGCACATGCCTCAGTCCTAGGTGTGTTACTCCATACCTTTTCTTTGGCTAGTTGGATGAGACTGAGATGCCACCAACAAGAAACACTGGGGGCAGGATGAAAAAGGTGGGAGAGTCTTTCTCCATGGTATAGAATTGAAAGGGGGTAACCTCAGATACAGAAATAGTACCAGAGTGGGTAATAATAGAACCATATTACCCTACAGAACAAAAGCCTTAAGCCACTGGGGGGAAGTACAGCAAATCCTGTAGCCTCCAGGGCAGTGAAGCTCCACTGTGGCTGCCCACTGCCATGGATTTGACTCATGACAAACCTACAGGCCAGAGCAGAGCTGCTCCAAAGGCCTCTGAGGCTATCATCTGTAGGTAGCAGACAGCCTCATCTTGGGGGCTTAGACAACTTGGGGCCTTGAACTGCTGATCTCTCGGTTAGATGTCCAATGCTTATTAACTCACTGTACCACCAGAGTCCTGCTGTGACTAGAGAAAGGAAAAATCCATAAAAACAGTCCTTTACCTGTGAGGGAACGGGAGGACACGATTCGGGACCCAGACTCTTAAAGGCCTTCTCCCCCTGGACAAGGAACAGGCCCCTGAGAAAGACCCACCCTCCTACCTGACTCAAAATGAGGTGGGTTCTGGAAAAGAGCCCTTGTCCTCCTCCCTCTCCCATCCCTCAATACGAAGTCAGTACAAACTGAGTAATTACAATAGTCTACTACTGAAGGAGAGGCAAGAGTATGGGGAAGGGGGAGGAGAAAGGGGGAACTGATCACAATGATCTACATATAACCCCCTCCCGGGGGGACAGACAACAGAAAAGTGGGTGAAGGGAGGCATCGGTCAGTGTAAGACATGGAAAAATTCTAAATTCTCAAGGGTTCATGAGGGAGGAAGGGAGAAAAATGAGCAGATATTAAGGGCTCAAGTAGAAAGAAAATGTTTTGAAAACGATGATGGCAACATATGTACAAATGTGCTTGACACAATGGATGGATGGATGGATTGTGCTAAGAGCTGTATGAGCCCCCAGTAAAATGATTTTTTTAAAAAAAGAAAAACACAAAAGCAAACAATGAAACAATACCTTACAATGATATTCTTACAAAGTTTTAAAAAATACAAAAATAGTAAGTGTTGCACAGCATATGGAGTGATTTGAATGCTCACACGTGACCGGTGGGATTGCAGAATTATACAACCACTATGGAAAATGGTATGATGCTTCCTTAAACAAATGATCATGCCTTATCTTCCTTCAATCTCTCTACTTGGTATACACAGTAAAGAAATAAAGAACATAATACAAAAAACACAAAAGAGCATGGTGAGAGACCTTTTCTGAGAGGCAGGCATATAAGCAGGGCCTAAAGGCCAGGGTGGTGCAGGAACACTGGGTAAAAAATAACTAGGCAGTGCACAAGAAAACACTAGAGGAATTTGAAGTCTATGGTACACTGAAAATAAGAGTAGCAACAACAAAACCCAGACCCAGTTCAAATCTGTACTCACTCACTCACTCCCATCAAGTTGATGCCGACTCACAGCGACCCTGTAGAACAGGGCAGTACTGACCCTGTGAGTTTCTGAGACTGTAACTCTTTACAGGAGTAGAAAGCCCTGTCTTTCTCCCACAGAGTGGCTGGTGGTTTTGAACTGCTGACCTTGCAGATAGCAGCCCAATACATAACCACACCACCAGAGCTCCTCAACTTCTAACAAAATGGGCTCCATCCCCTCACACTCATGGCCTATCAGAAGAAAAGCCCTGTTTATTTCCAAGCATAAACACTATTTACCTCAGTTTATACTGTCCTACATACAATATATAACATCCAGGTAAAAATTATTAGACATTAAGGGAAAATAACACACCGTCAAGAGATCAAGCAATCAACTGACCCAGACTTAGTTGAGTAGTTGTTGGAAATACCAGACAGGAAATTCAAAATGAACCTCCAAATGTTTCATCCCAATTACCGCATCAGACTTAAATTCAGGATCTCAAGTCTTCTGTATCAGGTCTAGATGTGGCTGAAGTTCCTTGAGTGAAGTCTCCTAGCTTCTTCATCTGAGCCCTGTCAGCTAAATAACAGATGATCCGACTGCTGCAAACCAAATTATATGTATACACACACACACACACACACACACACACACATCCATATACAAAGTGTCAACCCCACTCAAAATGGGGAGGAATAAGAGGCACATAATAGTCACTGATCCATAATGATATGAAATCCAACAGAGTGACTGATGCAAGCCCCTCCTACTCCCAGGGTAGATAATGTTTATTGATTAGGGCACAGTGCATTCTCTCTGGGAGTGGCCCCCAGTCCACTTTATTGTACTGTCCTTCAGTCTTCCATTGGAGATGCCTTTCCTTTTTCACACGAAATGGCCAATGTTTGCGGCTGAGTGGCTTTCTCAGTTTGCATCTCTTTCCTAGGAATCAGTGAGGCACCCAGGGGCCATTTTTCATTTCAACTGCTTTAGCCCCCTCTACCTGGAGGTACTTTCACTAATAAAACACTCTTTACAAAACATATGGGCTTCCTCTAAACTTGGTTTAGAAATCCCCCATGCCCCAAATGCCACACCAAGGAGAGGCTTTTTCAAGAGAGGGCTTTCGTTGTCTGTGCAATGTGTCAGGCTGCTGTGGGCAGCTTTGCAACTTTTTTAGAAGCCCTTTTGTTTCGCTATGAGAGTCTTCCAAGTACCAACTTAAATGTTTCATACATTTTGACAACGAGTCGGACCTAAAATTTGATCTGCATTCTGAAGCCATTGTTTACCTTGAGAATATTTTAATAGCTGAAGAGACTTGAAATGTGAACCTTAATTCCCAACCCAGAAATGTTTTCTGTATTTCTTCTAAATCCTGCTTGTAAATGGAACAGTTATTTATTCATTCCGTCTCAGTTTGTCTTATCATATGCCACAGAAAGAAGCGAACAGATGCTTCCAGCATTATGCTGGGTGTTTCCTTAGCTGGCTCCACAAGTTCACACTGCCCATCTTCTCCAGGAGCACAATGGCTATTTTGTCATCTGTTTCTTTATGAAATTAGCACGTTGCCATCTTCATTAGTACCTGTTGTTGGTTTTCTAAAACTGTTTTCAACTTCCACCTATCCCCATGTCCATGATACACATTTTATGTTTGGTATTATACATCCTCTCCAATTGTTAAGGTCTGATTTAGCATTTGATCTGTAACAAACGACTCTAAAATTGGTAGTTTAACACAAAAATCATTCTTAGCTTACAATTCGCTGGTTGGCTGGGATAAATGGTATGGCTCTTCTGGTCTGAGCGAGCTTGGCTGCTGCTGGAGGTCTCTGCAGACCTTATTCACATTTGTGGTGGTTGGCAAGTGAGGTGCTTCTAGGAAGCCTCAGCGTTTCTGTTCCCTGTGGTTTCTCATGCCCCAGGAGCGAGTGCAATTTGAGCTTCTTCGCGTGGTGGTCTCAGGATCCCCAGGAGGACTGAGAAAAGGCAAAAGGTCCAAGGTACGTTTTTCATGCTTTCCAGGCCTCCTCTTGAATTGCTTTGCTAAAGTCCCATTGTCCAAAGCAAGTCAAATGGCCAGGCTCAGTTTTAAGGAACCGAGAAAGAGACTCTACTTCTTCATAATAGAAACAGCAGAGGAACGTTACAAAGCGACATGCACACAGTGATGGTAGGGATCTGTGGCTGTTTTATATTCTACCACAATGAAAGATGATCAATTACTATGCCATAAAAACCAATATGTATAGGGTTATACTATGTATTTATTTAAAATTTTATCTGTAGATAGCTGTGTACATAAAGACATAATGACTTTTAAATTGTGAGTTCATCCGATAGAATTATTCCATAGGCAACATATTTTATCAGCATAATTATGCTGAATTCAAGAAAAGAATGTTTTTCATGTTTGAAATGAACTTGTTACTAAAGACTCCAAGTCCATTTCAGTTTTACTTTTCCTCCTTTTTCAAAAAAAGGATTTCAATTCAATTAATCTATAGTATACAATATGTTCTGCCACAAATGCCATATATAGAAGTGAGACTACACATGACATATATTATTTTGTCTTAACTTTCCTTTTGCAGATTTTGATAGCAATTTGCCTATAATGCTTTCTATGAAAAGTTTTAGCCTAATACGGCAAACTGGCAGCCTCCCCGCCCTCCCCCAGGATGAATTCCATTTGGTCTGGGCAGACTACACAAACGTGGAAAATTCCTCGCATTCAATGCACAGTTAGGAGCATTTCTTCTGAATGATTCTCACTTTAGGGGAGAAAACCCACTGAATATGTTTCCTTATAAAATCTTTTCATATAGGAACTATCTGAGGAATTCTAAAATATACTTAACTTGATTTCCATGATGAGGCTTTATACTCTCAAGAAACAGTTCATTTCACGTATGAATATTGCGATGCATACTAAGAACTGATTTCTGTGTGAAGCCCTTTCCACAGTCACTACATTTATAGGGTTTCTCTCCAGTATGAATTGCCTGGTGCTTATTGAAATTTGACCTGTCAGTGAAGGCTTTCCCACATTCTCCACATATGTACGGTTTCTCTCCCGTGTGAATTCGCTGATGGACTTTGAGATGTGGTTTCTTGGAGAAAGATTTCTCACAGTCAGGACATTTAAAAGGCTTCTCTGTACTATGAATTCTCTGGTGTGTGATTAATTCTGACTTCTGGATGAAAGCCCGCCCACAAGCTGTACAAACAAAGGGTTTCTCTCCCGTGTGAATGGTTTGATGTTTATTGAAATTTGATCTGTCGGTGAAAGCCTTCCCACATTCAGCACATATATAAGACTTCTCTCCAGTATGGGATTTCTGGTGAGTATTCAGATTTGACCTGTTGGTAAAGGCCTTCCCACATTCAGTACATATATAGGGTTTTTCTCCTGTGTGGATTCGCTTATGCATCTGGAGTTGTGACTTAGAAGGAAAAGATTTGCCACAGTCACCGCATTCATAAGGCTTCTCTCCAGTATGAATTCTCTGATGTGCAATCAAGTGTGCCTTCTGGATGAAGGCCTGTCCACATTCAGTACATATGTAGGATCTCTCTCCTGTATGAATCCTCTGGTGCATCCTGAGTGTTGACTTTTGGGTAAAGGCCTTCCCACACTCACTACATTTGTGGTGTCTCTCTCCAGTATGAATTTTTTGATGTATATTGAGGGCTGAGTTCAGAGAGAAGCCTTTCCCACATTCACTGCATTCATAGAGTTTTTCTCCAGTATGAATCGTCTGATGCCTAAATAGAGATGACATTTGGAAAAATGATTTTCCACATTCACTGCATTTATAGGGTTTCTCTCTAGTATGAGTTTTCTCATGTATAATTAATTCTGAATTCTGGACGAAGGCCTTCCCACATTCATTACATATATGTAGTTTTTCCTCTCTATGAACTCTCAGATATATGCTAAGTAACTGCTTCTTTGTAAAAACATTTATACACTTGTTAAGTCCAGGAGGTTTTTCCACAGTCTGAATTCCCTGAGGTGTAAACAGGCTTGACTTCTGGGCAAAGATTTTCCCAAACTCAGCACAAGTATTTGCTTTCTCCCCAACAGGAAATTTCAGATTTTGGCCGAGTGCTCGTTTGAAGTTGAGGAGCTTTCCACACTGATTACGTCCACATAATTTCACTCCTGTATGAGTATTTTCGTGGTTAGTATAAGAAGAGCTCTGGGTGAAAACTTGACTATGTTCTATAATTTTATCAAAGCTATTTGTTGCATTGTTTTTGTTATGGACATCTAAGTTTAAATTATGCTTAAAACCCTTTCCAATTGAGTCACGTTTTTGGGGTCTTTTTTGTGAAGAAATCAGGTCTGGGCTTGGACAAACAAATTTTCCAGTACTTTTATTTTCATAATCCCACTCTGTTGCCAATATTTTCTTGTGGATGAAAGCAGCATGACTCAGAAGTTTGTTTTGTTTTTCCTGATATCTCTCCATCTGTTCAGCATCTTGCCACAGTTTTTCTAACACAGTATACAATGAACAATCTCTTGTATCTTCACCCTCAATTTCACTATGAAAGGACGTTTTCCCAGTAGTTCTATATTGTAAGGTCTCAATCCCAAATTTGTCGTCTAAAAAAGAAAGAAAAATTAAAATTGACACAAAATTAGATAGCAAAAAACCCCCTAAGAAAGTATATGTAAATAGATCCAGACTAAACATAAGTAAATCAATAAATCTAATGATGATGATGATGATGATGATGATGACAGAGATGACAATGATGAAATGACTGAAAATATGAGGAGGCTTCAAAAACATTGTGGAAATTTTGTATTATCTTTTAATCTCATTTTCCCATGAACTTTTAAAAGCTCCTTTGTACATGCATTATGTGCCAAGCCCATCTAATGTTCCAAACACTGTTCCAAGAAATATCTACACATATATGAAGTCATTTAGTCTGTTTGAAAGCCCGATAAGGTATCTATTATTATTATTATCAATGTTTGTAGACAAGGAAAGTGAAGCTTGGAATGGTTATACAATTGGGTTTTGAAAAGTTCATGGAAAAACACAGAATTAAAAGGTACTGGAAGCTTTCCACAAATGTTTTGCAGGCCCCTATCACTTTCTCTGAAACATGGTTATTCATTTTATATATTGGAATTTAACATAAGTAATCTAGTTATGCTTTGGTGGGAGGCTCAGATATCTAGTAGGCAAGGCCAAAGATTTTTAAAACCCAAGAGTTTTACAAGAGGAAATAAGTATGGAGAGTCTAGGGTTGGAAGTAGAATCTCAGTCTCTGTCCTCATTAGCTTTCAATTCTAAATACTCACTAACCTTCCCACTTCATCTTGCTTGTTAGCAGCAGTACCAAATGAGAATCCCACCCACCCAGAACCCATTTTATTGATTTGACAGGAAAAATATTATAGCCATAGCCATCTGTTCCTGTAAATAGGAGCTCTGGTGGGGTAGTAGTTATGCGTTGGACTTCTAACTGCACAGTATCCAAATGGAAACCACCAGTCTCCACAGGATGTGATTGCCTATGCCCAAAGCATCCTGTCCCGCAGCATTATGGATCAATGTTCTACACAATGGAACCCCAAGGACAGACCTGCTGGGGAAATGTATGTTAATAATGGATTCAGAGAAAAATCTGTCCTGCCGTTGGCCTTTGATTACTCTATAATTAACTGAAGAACATGCACACATAAAATGAGGTACCTCCAACCATTCACGAAATCCCACGTGTTACCCACCAGTCTCCACGAAGTCCCCACTCGTACACATTCCACCTTCAACCCTCCTGCTTTTCAGCCAGTCATGATTGTGCAGAGTAAGTATGCTGGCCTATTTCTTGTCTGGCAGAGCAGCCATTTTCATTTTGTGAATTTGGACATTTTTCCCATCTGGACCACCTCTAGCCTTTCAGTAAATCTTTACATTATACTTTGACAGAATAGGGTCTTCGTTCTGGGATAGTCTCTATATTATTTGCCTATTTCATATAACTGAGATCATACACTGTCCTCTTGCGAGTGATTTCTTTCACTCAGTATTGTTTTCATGGCTTGTCCATGTGTGGCAGCATCGGGCCTTCATTTCTCTTTGTGGCTGAGCAATCTTCCATTGCATGTATGTCCTCTGTTGGACTGATCCACTCATCTGTTGGTGGACATTTCAGTTGTTTCCACCTTTGGGCTATTATGACTAGTGCTACAGTGAACATTGGTGTTGGCATTTCTTCTGTTCGTATTTCTGCTTTCAAATCTTTGGGGCAGATACCCAGGATTGGAATTGCTGGGTTATATGATAGTTCTATGTTCAGCTTCCTGAGGAATCATCACACTATTTTCCATAGGGGCTATCCTAATTTGCATTCCCACAAACAAGGGATGAGGGTTCCATTTACATCGAATCCTCAACAATACCTGTTGTTTTACTTTCTAAAACATTTAAAAAATCATAGCCATTCTAGTGAAAGTTAGGTGGTATCTAATATGACTTTGACTTGTGCCTCCCCAATGGCTAGTGAGGAGGATTCCTGGTGGCTAACACGTTGGGTTGCTAACTGCAAGGTCAGCAGTTCAAAACCACCATCTGCTCCATGGGAGAAAGAGAGGGCTTTCTAGCCCCATAAAGAGTTACAGTTTAAATACTGAACTCAAGTTGGAAGAGGTGAGTCCAGTCTCAAAATAGAGGTAAAAGTGCCGCCTGCCTCTGGAGGTTGCCAGTGCCGCCAAGGGGAGGTAGCTCATGATTCAAAGGAATCAGAGCAGTTGTGAAAATGTTCAGTGATGGTCTGAGTTGTGAAACGATAGATGGTAGTTTAAGGGAACATTTGAAGAAATGTTTGTGTGGTGATGGGAGACCGCCCAAACAAAGCATTCCAGGGGGTGGGTTTTAAAAAGTCACTTCCTCTTGTGCTGAAGAGGTGGAGCCAGCAATTGTGGGCCCGGCCACGCAAGTTTGAGGGGTGTGCAGTGGAACCAAACAGGATTCTGCAAAGTCTGGTGCCCATTTAATGGTGAAGAAACATTTTCCTTGTGACATTAAAAAAGACCCAGAAGAATATCATTTGAGAGACTACTTTGAAAAGTGTGGCAGGATTAAAACCACAGAAGGCATGGAGGACAGGGGGATGTGGGAAAAGGATAATATTTGCTTTTGTAACTTTTGATGATCATGATGCAATTGGTAAAATTGTTGCTCAGAAATACTACACTACTTACAGGCATAATTATAAAGTGAAAAGGCCCACTCAAAACAAGAAATATAGTCTGCTGGATCACAGAAAGGTGGTGGAGGTGGATCTGGCAATTTTATGGGTCGTAGAGGAAACTTTGAGGGTAGTGGAGGGGACCTTGGCCCCCGTGGGAACTTTGGTGGAAGAAGAGGCTTTGGTGGTGGAGGTGGTGGCAGCAGAGGGTGTTATGGAGGAGGTGATGGTGGTGATAATGGACTTGGAGGTGATGGTGGCAACTATGGTGGTGGTCCTGATTATAGCAGTAGAGGTGACTATGGTGGTGGTGGACCAGGACAGGGAAACCAAGGTGGTGGATATGGTGGCGGTGGTGGAGGTTATGATGGTTACAATGAAGGAAGAAATTTTGGCGGTGGTATCTATGGTGGTAGTAGAAACTACCATGATTTTGGAAATTACAGTGGACAGCAGCAATCAAATAATGGACCCATGAAAGAGGGTAGTTTGGTGGAAGAAGCTCGGGCAGTCTTTCTGGTGGTGGTGATGGATCTGGTAGTGGAAGTGGTGGCTATGGTAGCAGAAACTTTTAAAGCTTCCACGGAAAAGGGCTACATTTCTTAGCAGGAGAGAGGGCAAGGAGTTGTCAGCGAAGCTGCAGGTTACTTTGAAGGCCCATAAAAATCTACCCTCAAAGAAATGACGATCCATAGTCAGACAAGGCACTGCAAGTTAAGTAAGAAACCCTTCTTGTGCAGGACGGTCATAGCCACACTTTGTAAAGAACGACAGCTATTGATTAAAGCAATGTAGTGTCGATTAGATGTCAACCTGAGATCTTTGATCTCTGATAGCTTTTTCTTTTCATTACATCAGGTATGTTGCCCTGTAAAGTGTAGTAGTGCTGCTGGGTATAAAGTAGATTAAAAAAAAACCAACTCGTTGCCATCGAATCAATGCAACTCATAGCAACCCCCTGTGGGTTTCAGAGACTGTAACTCTTTACAGGAGTAGAAACCCCAGTCTTTCTCCTGAGGAGCTGCTGGTGGTTTTGAACTGCCGACCATGTGGATCGCAGCCCAAATCTCCTAAAGTAGATATAGTTAAGTTAAAATTTAACATCTTATTTGATCCCCTTTGGAACCATTTAGATGTTATCAGTTAAAACAACTGAAGGGGCAATGCACATGGAGTAAGCCTCCAGTAGATCCCCTATGAGCACAGAGGACCAGGGATGTGAACAGGCGTGCCATCAAGTAGAACGCACATTGAACAGTGGATTATGGCAGGTGTGCCTAGGTTAAACTTCAACACCTTATCATGTGATCACCCTTTTGCCCTGCTTTAAGTTTTTCTAGTTTTAATTTTTTCTGCTTTCTTTTCAACTGGGTTTTTTTCTATTTTATTTTGTTATTGTTGTTAACTTTTCTGTTTCTTTGTTTTTCTATGTTTTTGAGTGTATGAAATCTAGGATGATGAGTCTCTAGAGACAGAACTAGAGTAGTGGTTGTTTGAGGGTACGGCAAGGAAGGCTGGGGGTAAATGGGGAGCTCATAACAAAAACAAAATGCTCTAACATTGATTGTGGCAATGATTGTACAACTCTTCTTGATATGACTGATATGTGGAATATGCCCCAAGAAAACAAATTTTTTTAATTGAGGAATTTTAAACTTTATATATATAAAGTTTATGGATATATATATATATCCATCCTTATAGAGAGGATGGTGTACGGTTCATGGGCACCACTTTGATAGAGGAGACTTCACAACAAAAAGAAAATGCTCTAAAATTGATTGTGGCACTGATTGTACAACTCTTCTTGATATAACTGATATGTGGAATATGCCCCAAGAAAACGAATTTTTTAATTGAGGAATTTTAAACTTTATATATATATCCATCCTTATAGAGAGGATGGTGTACAGTTCATGGGCACCACTTTGATAGAGGAGACCTCACTTCACCAGGATCAGATTTTCAAGATTGGAAGAAAGGAAGGTGACCATTTGGAGTCAATAATAAGATGGCAACTAACTCCATAAAAAAAAAACCAGGAAAGGCATTTGACTACTCACATCACAAAAGATGCAAAATGGTAAGTAAGCACATGGAAATATAATCACTATCACTAGTCACCAGAGAAACGGAACTTAACATCAAAATGCGATACCACTATACATTCCCTAGAATAGCCAAACTAGAGAGGCTGGTGATAGCAAGCGCTGGGGAACGCAGAGCAACAGAACTTCTCATGGCATATAAAGAAGGCTTTAGAAAGACTGTGATTTCTTATCCAGATAAGCATGCACTTATTATAAGACAGCAATTCCACTCCGAGGTATCGATCAAAAAGCAATGTCAATGTGCTCAGTAAGGGTTTATTCATAATAACTACCTATTAACAGAGACAGCAAAACCAAACCCAACTCACTGCCATCGAGTCGATGCCAACTCATAGCGACCCTATAGGACAAGGTAGAACTGCCCCTGTGAGTTTCCAGGACTGTAATTTTTCACGGGAGTAGAGAGCCCTGTCTCTCTTACTTGGAGTAGCTGGGGGGTTTGAACTGCTTACCTAGCAGTTAGCAACCCAAGCCGTAACCACTATGCCACCAGGCCTAGATAAGCAAATTAAAAGACATATCATAGGACAGTATTCAGCATTTACAAGAAACAAATTGGTGATCTACTCAATAACATAGATGACTCTCAAAATCATTATGCTGAACAAATGAAGTCAGACCCAAAATAGTACATATGGTATGAATCCAGTAAAGACCAATCGAATCTATGATTATAAAAAGTATGCCAGTGGTTGTCTCGAGCACAGGTGCAGTACAGCTTGACTGATAGGGGCTTGAAGGAATGCTTTTGTGTCACGGGATGTAATGTATCATGATTAGGGTGGTGGCTATAATGGCATATAACTTTATCAAAACTTATCAAACTGTACACCAATCATGAAAACATTTATTGTATGTACAGTATTCCTTAATAAATTTGATTTTAAAGGAAAAATACAAAGTAACTGTGACCATAAAACCAAAAGGTGGAAACAAGAGACAGGGTGGAGAGGAATAAGAAATCTGAAGGAAGGTAAGACAGACAAAGAGGACAGGAGGTGAGGCTGGCTGTAGATGACAGCTTCGTGGCATGTTACAGTGAGAAGATGAACATAAAAAAATAAAATGAAAGAGTAATAGGAAGAACAAGGGTGAAACACCAAGAGTGATTTTCAAAGAAGGCAAACTCATTAAAACCACAACGTATATGATAAAAGCCTAAAACACTGTGGGTGGAAGTAGGGTTTATGGAATGAAGCATAAAAAAAAGCATAGAGACTATCAAAGAAAGCAAGATCCACAGTAAGCCTGGCATGCGACCCAAAGAACAGGGACATGCCTGTTAGGCCAACTGCCCCGGAGAAAAGCTAAGCAGAAAAAGGACAGTGGCTATGGTAAGGGGAATGAAGGTAGAAACCAATTTGGTACCCGAGGAACCCATATTATCTGTCCTTAAAGACAAAAAAAAACCATTGTTGTCAAGTTGATTCCTATTCTTGTCAAACCTACAGCATAGAGCAGTACTGCCCCCAAGGGCTTCTACCTCTTCCTCCCTGGTGCAGCTGGTAGGTGCAAACTGCTGACCTTTCAGATGGCACCACCAGGGCACCTTATCTATGCTCAAGCAAACTCTGAAGTTAAGAATTGTCAATAAGGGTAACAATAATCGAATTGTAAAGGCATTGGCCTCTGTCAGGAACCAAAAAAAAAAATTACTTCCATGTCCCCAATCTGCCTGACTCACACTAACTCACATGAACAATTTTGGTTTGTTTGTTTTTAATCATTTTATTGGGGGCTCTTAAAGCTCTTATCACAATCCATCCATCCATCCATTGTGTCAAGCACATTTGTACATTTATGGCCATCAACCTTTTCAAAACATTTTCTTTCTACTTGAGCCCTTGGTATCAGCTCCTCATTTTTTCCCTCCCTTCCCCCCACCCTCCCACCCTCAGGAACTCTTGATAAATTATAAATTATTATGTTCATATCTTACACCATCCATTGTCTCCCTTCCCCATGTTTCTGTTGTTTGTAACCCTGGGTGGGAGGGGTTATACGTGGATCGCTGCGATTGGTTTCCCCTTTCTCCCCCACATTCCCTCTACCCTCAAGGTATTGCTACTCCCATTGTTGTCTCTGAGGGGTTTATCTGTCCTGGAACCCGTATGTCAAGAGCTCTTATCTGTACCAGTGTACATGTTCTGGTCTAGCTAGATTTGTAAGGTAGAGCTGGAGTCATGATAGTCGGGTGGGGGCAGGAAGATGAAAGAACTGGAGGAGTGTTGTATGTTTTGTCAGTGCTACACTGCACCCACCTGAACAGTTTTGATATACGGTTTCAGCCTCCAATGTCCATGGTTCTTCTCCTTTCTCCAACTTGAAGATGACCTCAGGTTTGGGAACTTGATACCCTGCTGACAAGCCATGACAGAGAATTGGGTCCATGAGGTAGAGTCAATGAACATGGACTTCTAGCCATAATTCTTCATGTGACATATTAAAATTCTGGACTCTGGGTCTGTGACTATAACCCCATTTTGAGGGGGTTATATTATTGGGCAACAATAAGCTTTCAAAAGAACACAAACTCACTGCCATAGGGTCAATTCCAACTCATCATGACCCTATAGGACAGGATAGAACTGCCCCTCTAGGTTTCTGAGACTGTAAAGATTCACATGTGTAGAAAATCTCATCTTTTTTCCTCAGAGGAGCTGGCAGGTTCGAACTGCGAACTTTGAGGTTAACAGTGCAATGTGTAAATCACTATGGTACCAGGGACCCTCAATAGACAGGATTAAGGTGGGGTTAAGGCTTGACTTCAGAAGAGGGTGTGAGCCAAGTCACATCCTTGGTTTCCTTGTGGGTAACTTTGAGACTACTTAACTAGAGGGTGTGACTTTGTTGTCCTTGGGGGTACAGTCAGGTAAAAGTTAAAAACCACTCTCCCATCAAACCCATTATTCGGTATACAAGAGCCACCTCAAACACAGAGAAAACTTGCAGGACCATTGAAAGAGCACATCCAATATCTCTGTCTGAAGTGGTGGAGGCCATCACGACCAGATAACCAGAGACTCTGGCACGGAAGCTCAGAGGAGCCATGCTGAAATTGTGGGGTACCTTTTTCTCAACTGGCCTGAGGCAATTGAACTGTGGGATAAAGCAACAGGGGAGCTGCTTCCTGGCCCCAGAAGCAGACACCAAGGTACCATGTGGCTGAGAATCTAAGGGCTAGAGAGAAATGGGGTTGCTGGCTGAGGTGAGAGGGGCTGTGGCAGTCACATAACCTGTCAACTTAAGGAAGGCATGGAGTCTAGCTGTCAATCTGGTCACAGTTTGATTACCTCAGTTGGAGGCACGACAGAGATAAATAGCTCACTGGAAGCCAGATACACTCACTCCCTGCAAGACATTCCTGTTGAGAAGCCACCTGGAGCTATGCTGATGGCAGCCAGAGCCTTGGAACTAGAGAAGCCACATGGAGACCCACGCCAATGCTAAGATGCTTCCACCACCATTGGATCGACAAGACTTTCCACCCACTGGCCTGTGATCTTCATGCACTCGGCGTCATTGCATGTGTTGTATGAGTCTGAAGAGGAATTCACAGACTGGTACTGGACATATGGGCTAATATCAGACTTATGGACTTGATCTGGACTGGGCTGGGATGTTTTCTCAATGTTCAATTGCTCTTGAATATAAAGCTTTCTTCTTTTTAAAAAGCTCTTTCTTATACACATTTGCGTGTCTATGAATTTTGTTTCTCTAGTCTACCCATACTAACACAGGGGTTGTTGTGGACCAATGACTACATCCTTGATATTCACTGCTCCTGACTTATGGTAGCCTGTTAACTTCTCTAATACCACCCCCCCTTAATTGTGAGTATTGTCTGCGAGTTCTGTGTGGCCACTGCAATGAATTATTGAACCCAACAGAGAAATGGAGTGGCATGGGAGGAATGGTTGGCACCAGAATAGGGTAAAGAAGGATGGAAGGTGAAGGTTGTCTGACCCTTGCCTCGTGGCAATAAGGAAGCCAGAGGAGGTCAGATACGGCCCCCACCATGTCCATTTATTACAGTGCGGCTGCATATTTTCCATGTGCTCTTCAGACAAGTAACCACATTTCACTGGAAATAGAACGACAGTCACAGAGTTAAAAATGGACTGCAGCATCTTAGACAACAGCATCACACACTCTAAATTCCCTGCAGCACTCAGCAGCTGAGAATGGCAAAGCCTACATTGAAGTGCCTCGCAGAGTCATGAAACGGCTGCCCTTACCCACTGACAGCAGGTGGCTGTAGTTCTCTAGCATCACATCTCGGTACAGGCATCTCTGAGCAGAGCCCAAGTGCTGCCACTCCTCCCTGCTGAATTCCACGGTCACATCTTCAAATGACACTGATACCTGTAACAATAGCATCCTCTTCAGGGCAATATGATCGGCACTGAGAAGAGGGACAAAATAAATACCACTCCCTACCATCGAGTTGATCCCGACCTATAGCGACCCTATAGAACAGAGTACAGCTGCTCCTTTGGTTTTTTGAGACTATAAATCTGTGTAAGAATAGACAGTCTCGTCTTTCTCCTGGGTAGCAGCTAGTGGGTTGAAATCACTAACCTTGTGGTAGCAGCCCAGTGCATAACCAACTACACCACCAGGGATCCTTTAGAAGAAAGACAAGACGTTTTTTTAACGACGTTTCACCATAATAAGCCATAACGTGTATTAAATACCAAGTTCAACATAATATTGTACTAGAAACATATGCTTCATTGAACATTTCTACTATTTGTTATAACCATCACCTTTTAAAAAAAATTTATGGGATTTGACCTTGATCCCATTTTGCTGTTCATTTCTATGAGAAATTCATTTTCTAGAAATTTTAGAAAATTTAGTAATAAACATGCCTAAGTGTTGAATTGTGCTTCCCGCAAATATAAGCTAGAATCCTGTGGCTACAGCCCTAGTTGAAAATAGGGCTTTCTTTCCTATGTTGATGAAGCCAGAGCATTGAAGGGTGTGCCCTAAACTTGAATCCCTTCTGGTTGTAAAAAGAACAGATGAGTCACAGGTGTGCATACATACATGCGGACGACAGGTGCCACCTAAGGATCGTTAAGTAACCAAGGAATGCTCAGGGCCACTGACAAAAAAAGAATTGAAGCAGCTGAGCCTGATTTGAACTTTCAGCCTTCAAGGGTCTGAGAAAATAAAGTTTTGTTCTTGAAAGTCACCTGCTTGCAGTATTTCTGTGACAGCAGCACTAGATAACTAAGATATGTTTGCCGGATTGCTATTTTAAAACCACAAGCGGCTTCCTCGACTGTTTTTACACACGATCATTTTTATTTATTTATTAATTTTAAAAATCATTGTATTGGGGACTCTTACACCTCTTATAACAGTCCATACATCAATTATATCAAGCACATTTGTACGTATGTTGCCTTCATCATTTTTCTAAACATTTTCTTTTTGTTTGAGCCCTCGGTATCAGCTCCTCTTTTTTCCCTCCTTCCCCCGCTATCCCACTCTCGTGAACACTTGATAAATTAGAAATTATTATTTTCATATCTTACACCAACCGCTATCTCCCTTCATCCACGTTTTTAATGTGAACAATCATTTTTAAATGGTTACAGGAATACATCAACAGGGAGCTGCCGGAAATTCAAGCTGGACTCAGAAGAGGACATGGAATGAGGAATGTCATTGTTGACATCAGATGGATCTTGGCTGAGGGTAGAGAATACCAGAAATCTGTGTGTGTGTGTGTGTGTGTGTTAATCATTTTATTGGGGGACTGTACAACTCTTATCACAATCCATACATATATCCATTGTGTCAAGTACATTTGTACATTTGCTGCCATCATCATTCTCAAAACATTCTTTTTACTTGAGTCCTTGGTATCAGATCCTCATTTTTTCCACTCCCTTCCCCACCCTCCCTCCTTCATGAATCCTTGATAATTTATAATTTTTTTTCATGTCTCACACTGTCCAATGTTTCCCTTCACCCACTTTTCTGTTGTATATCCCCCTGGGAGGGGGTTTTATGTAGATCATTGTGATTGGTTCGCCCTTTCTCCTCCACCTTACTCTTACCCTCCTGGTATCGCTACTCTCATTATTGGTCCTGAGGGGTTTATCTGTCCTGGATTCCCTGGGTTTCCAGTTCCTATCAGTACCAGTGTACATCCTCTGGTCTAGCCGGTTTTGTAAGGAAAGTTACATGTTTTACAGTTGCTACACTGCACCCTGACTGGCTCATCTCCTCCCTGTGACCCTTCTGTAAGGGAATGTCCAGTTGCCTACAGATGGGCTTTGGGTGTCCACTCCGCAGTCAATATGTTTGTGTTTTATTGACTATGCAAAGGCATTTACTGTGTGGATCATAATAACCTACGTTAAGAATAGGAAATCCAGAACGATTCATTGTACTTATGAGAAACTAGTACATATGCCAAGAGGCAGTTGTTGGACCAGTCCTAGGTCCAACAACATAGCATGGTCTAAAATCAGGAAAGGTACTTGTCAGGGTTGTATCCTTTCACCGTTCTTATGCAATCTGTATGCTGATCGAATAATTCCAAGAAGTTAAACTACATGGAGAAGAATGGGACGTTGGGATTAGAAGAAGACTCATTATTAACAATCTACAATAAGTAGGTAACAAGAGTTCAACTTGAAGCCCTTACTAATAAAGTTCCCTGCAGGCTTTCAATAGTTGGATCAGTAAGAAGCATCATGATAAATGGAGAAAATATTGAAGTTGTCAAGGAATTTCTTTTTCTTGGATCTACAATCACTGCCCAAAGAAGCTATAGTCAAGAAACCTAATGATGTATTGCATTGGGCAAATAACACTGCAAAAAAATCTTCTTTAACGTGTTAAATCCCAAAGATGCCCATTGACTTAGGGAACACCAAGGTCAACTGGCATAACATAGTCCACAAAGGCAATGTTCTGCATCCTACTTTGGTGAGCTCTAAGGGGTGTTTGGAAAGTTGTCGGTGGCCACAAGGCAGATCACAGATTATATGCAAATTGAAGTTGAAGCTGAGGAAAGTGAAAACACGGCAATGAGCGCTCAAGTGCAACTTTGAATAGGTCTCAACTGAATTCAGAATCCATCTCAAGAACAGATTTAACACACTGGACACTAATGACCAAAGATCCGATAAATCGTGGCATGTTATCCAGGATATCATACATGAAGAAAGAAAACAGACAGGAGAGAAAAGGCCAAAATGAATGTCAGAAGAGATTCATACGCTTGCTCTTAAACACAAAAAGGTTAAGTGGTAGTGGGGAGATGAGTCACTTAGGGTACAGTATAGCAATAATGAAACCCACAACCTTCCTCTAGTTCTTAAACGCTTCCTCCCCCCAACTACCAGGACCCCAATTTTGCCTTGCAGACCTGGTTAGACCAGATGATGCACAGCGGTACAGATGGGAATTGGAAACGCAGGGAATCTAGGACAGAGGAACCTCTCAGGACCAGGGGTGACAGTGGCGATACCAGGAGGGAAGGGGGTGTAGAAAGGGGGAATGGATCACAGGGAGCTACATATAACCTCCTCTCTGGGGGACGGGCAGCAGAAGGGTGGGTGAAGGGAGACGCCGGACAGAGTAATATAAGATACAATAATAATTTATAAATTATTAAGGGTGCATGGGGGAGAGGGGAGGAGGAAGGGAAGGGGAGGGGGGAAAAAAGGAAAATTAGCGGATTCCGGGAACCCAAGAGGCAAGCGAATTTTGGGAATAATGAGGGCAACAAATGTATAGATGTGCTTTACACAATAGATCTATGTATTGTGATGAATTGTATGAGCCCCAATAAATTGATTTAAAAAAAAAAAGGTTAAGTGAATGGAAGAAATGATGAAATAAAACAACTGAATAAAAGATTCAAAAGACAAAATAAAGTCTTATCATGAAATGTGCAACGACCTGGAGTTAGGGGGAAAAAAGGCAAAAAGGAAGAACATGCTTAGTCCGCAGTGTTCAAGCTAAAAGACCTGAAGGACAATGTCAAGTCCGGTTGCAATACTGAAAAATTCAACGAGAAAAATGTTGAATGGTATAAGAAGCATCTGAAGCACATGGAAGGACTACAGAAAGTCGCTGCATGAAAAAGAATTGGTCAATGTTCAATAATTTCAGAAGATAGGATAGGATCAAGAATTGAAAATCTTAAAGGAAAAAGCCACGCTGCACTGACGGCGCTGGAGGAAAAGAAGGCTGCAGGAATTGACAGTGTAGCAACTGAGATGTCTCAACAAGTAGCTGAAGTGCTGAAAGCACAAGCTTGTTTACGCCAAGCAATTTGGCATAACTGAAAGAAGAGACCCATACTTGTGCCCGTTCTGAAGAAAGGGGACCCGGGACCCCACAGAAGGCAGAACTTATTGAACAATACCATTAACATCACCCGCAGTTAAAATTGTGCTGAACATAATTAATGGAGGGGGAAAGACAATGTTCGAATCGGATGTGCCTTAACATTAGAAGAGAGAGTCTCAAAATGGTCTTGCGTGTATCCTTGTAGCTGATCCACATGCAGCTTTCACAAAGGCAGGCTCTTAAACCATTTGTGGTAAAAGTCGCTCACTGAGCCTCAGAAATTAACGGGCTATAAAGTCGCTCGTGGCCTGTGTTTTCCCTTATGAATACTAAGATTAACAACTGCACAACATTCTCAAAACAGCACACTCAGCCACACAACTACACAAAAGTAACTACATAAGCCCAAACTGTTTTAGTTAGGTTAAGCCAATTTAAAACTACTGAAAATGTTCTTTAAGGGTGCCTATGCCTTTTTAAAGGACTTTTGATAACAGAATGCCACTCTAGTGCATTAGTAGAGTTCTAAGCCTGTTCTTCACAGAGGCATTCCATCTTACCCAGGAACAACATGTATTCAAAAGAGATCTGCTATGGGTAACTGCACCCCAAACACGCACAAAAATTCAGCTGGCAGCAAGGACAGTGGAGCAGCACATGAGCAGTAACCCCCTCACCAATGTGCACAAGACCAGAAGACCCAGAACGATCATCTGTATCAACAGGAATTACCCCTATGAAACACCGAGACAGAACCCTATTTTCCAGATTCTCTGAGTCACAAACAACCTGGGCAATGTAAACTTGGAAACCCCAGGCAATATAAAATCGGAAAACTAAAGCAAACTACAATGACAACAGTCAAAAGTGTTTCCAAACAGGGCAGAAAGAAAATGAACATTTAACAAATCACAGATGAGAAGACACACAGCAAGACTTTTTTTTTTAAGGGTTTGAGCTGCTTTATTTACTGCCAATTTTTTAAAAATAATCATTTTATTAGGGACTCATACAACTCATCACAATCTGTACATACGTCATCT